CGCTTCCAATTAAAGCTGGAATAGCAAAAAGGACAAGCTTGAAATAATCAGCCCTTTTAGTAGGCGTAAAAGGCACAATGGCAGGCTGTGGATAATGGACGTAAAGCAATCTGCATCATGTTAATGCAGCGTAAGAGCAGTAATCCCCCGATGGTTTGCGCCAGAAATGTATTTTAAGATGAGGAGGGAAACACACACACACAGAGTAAAGACCAAGGATAAGGAAGGAATGTCTCCGAAAAACGTCATGCTGAAAGCTCACAAGAGCCATCCCTCGGAACAGCCGCGAATGCAATTCACTCCTAGACACTATGGGCTTGCGACCGCCGACGGGTGCCATTTTTGGCGTATGGAACCAATCTCCGGTAAGCAGTATTGGAATGCTCGAATTCGCAAAGAGAGGTTTTAGGTTAACACTTTGACTGCGACTGCCAAAATAGCCTGTATGCCGGTACGTGTATGCGTGTACCACATATGGCACACGTCGCAGTCAAAGTTGACGAAATCCCTGATGACTATCCGAACCCGGCCGCTGAAAAGGATCCACTGAGAGCCCAGATGGACGACAACAAGGACATGATTTGGCAAGGATAGGATATGTGGACCCCCTCAAAAAACGAGAAGCAAGGACTCCTGTAATAGGGAAATGATGGAGTAAACGGAACCAACATGTAGCTGCTTTCAGGAAACGAAAGATAAAAAGTCCCGTTACGTCATAACTTTGCTTAAATACACTAATAAAGCGCATAACTGCAAGTGCTTTGACTGAAATATTGGAAATTGGGGACGAAAAAAATAAAAGCTGAAGATATTGGTTAGTTATTACAGGTGAAGTGACCCCCAGCCCGTGATGACCAATCAAATTGAAGGAGAAAGTAGGAAAATGTACCGTTAAATCCGATTCTCGTTATGGTCGCGACTGAGGATATAATTGCGCTTGATAATTGTGATAGCCGAACACTAAACCCCAATTGTAGCGTGCAAGAGAGGCGTGTTATGGAATGGACAAGAGGGAAGCTAGGTAGACTTCAGCCTACCCAAATAGCCGAAGTACGTATTTCCTAGGAGGACTAGGTTGGATCACATATCCGAACGTTAACCATAATTCGAAACATCTACCGTAATACCCGCTATAATCTTGCCTTTAAAGATAGCAATAACAGCAAGATTTATTGGATCCATGGCATTTCGAGGAAGCTCTTCAGTTGCTGCCTCTCACTGCGTAATGTGAATCGCATAAGATAAAATACAAATTGAATTCATACAGAAAAAATCGATATAAACACAAGGTCATAAGAAGTGGCCAAAGGGCTAATCAATAACATAAGAAGTTTAAACACTATGGTCAGCAAAAAACGGGGAAAAACGTCTGAGTTAACAATTTGGGAGGGGAAATGTGTAAACAGGGAGCCAATGTCACCAAGGCGAAGTTAGGTTCACTACATGCTCCAACTGTTTACATAGGTCGGGTTTGAACCGCCGCATGTAGGCTGCCCCCCTACATGCATGCCATGGATCCAATAAATCTTGCTGTTATTGCTATCCTTAAATTTGCACCTGGGAAAAGTTGCTTTAAATCTTGCCTTTATTTTACGATGGTAGGAATGACTCAGCATTGTCACCGAGTCAGCAAGCGGGGGTTTTTTAGTGCATGCAACAAACAAGTGTGTTGAAGACAGACACCCCTGCGTTTATGGTGGACTG